GGCTGCCCTGCACAATGGGGTAGACTCAGATCAAGGGGTGTCTGTTGGTCTCTGCGTGGATAGAAGAACACAGAGCAGGGCTGCAGGTGGAGCCAGAGCTGGCGCCATGGAAAATCATCTCCTGGCAGTGGCAGCGGGCAGGAGGGGAGCTGGCAGGGTGCAAACCTACATCCCTGCGCTCAGTTAAGTGTAGCATGTGGGTGTCCCCAGAGCACATTTACTGTCCTTGTCATCGCAGTTGGTCCTGCCTTCTGCAGTTCCCACACGGGCTGTGCTGAGCTGTCACATGGAACGATTGCAGCACATGGAGAAGAACTTCTCCCAGCGTGTCCTGCCAGTGCTCCTGTTCCCAGTGCTTTGATTTGTTCCCGTGAGGGTGCAGCTCTCAGTACAAGAGGACCTGGGGACCTCACTGCAGAGGGGACAGGCAGCTGGGGAAAGCCACAATTTTGTCCCAGCCTCTGTGAGGCAGAGAGTGTAAACACACACTTCCCAGCCCCACGGCTAAAAGCCACTCCATTCCACAGGGCTCCTTCATTTCCTTCACTCAAGCCCTGTGGAGGAATGGAGAGAGGCTCAAGTGCTTCTTGGGAGTCATCAAGGAGTAATTTGGGAACATAGCCCTTGATGTTGCTTTCTGTGCTTCAGCTTCTACTCAGCTTTAGTAACACAGCAGCTCAAGTTCCCTTCCCAGCAGGCTCAGAGCATGGTCACTGGAACTGGGAACCCGAAAGGTAGGTGAAGAGTCAGAGCAAAACCTGCAGGTGACTCAGAGCTTCATTTGGAGCAGAAGAGCTCAGTGAGTATGATGCTTTGTGAGGAGGTAAAAAAGAAAACAACACTTCAAGGCAGGACTGGAACCAGTTTGGAGGTGTTAATTTGGCTTCAGGCTAAACAGGCTGGACAGTCCAGTATCCCAGCAGCTATAGAACAGGAACTTTTGTCTTAGTGCTCCCCTGGCAGAGAGACCTCCTGCAGGGAATCAGGACCTCCCTCACCTGCCTGTGCCATCCCTAGGGAGCTCCTCACACAGGGATTGCTTCATCCCCACTCCCACAGCAGTTACCTTTACAGTATATTGCCCCTGTACCTCTTAGCTTGGAGGAGGCAGTGGGATCACCTACACACATCCTTATTTTTCCTTATTTGTGCATGTCCTTATTTTATCTGAGGGGCAGACCAGCCACAGCCTCGTGCCCTGTACCTGTGCCCTGCTCTGGCAGAGGGTCCTGCCCCAACCTCCTGCCCCAGAGAGGAGTGTTTGGTAAGGGATGACACCCACCCCGATTTGTTCCTGCAGTTGGGATCCCTATCCCAGCCAGTGTTGCAGGAGTTAAATCTGACAGAGTGGTCAATGCTGGTAACACAAGAGCAAAACTGATGCCAAAAATGCACCTCGGGCATTGCTTTTCTGCATACAGGACCAGAGACATGCAATAATAATCAAGCATCACTTCATATATTTTAGCTTAATAATGATGACAGTAAAAAAACCACCAAAAAATTAAGTTTTTTTTAATTCTTATAGAAAGCACAGTATTATAATATTCAAAGAGTGATTATACAGATAAATTCCACATAAGAAATCAATTCAGAGTGGACAGAGCTACATCAGCAACCCAGTGCCCCCTCTTTTGCATGTTTTAAAACCAAAAACTGAGATATTCCTACAAGCATTCTGATCAGTGTCATACAAGTTACCTGAGTTTATATTCTACACCATCAGAAAATCAGGTCGTGGATTATGCAGCAATTATGAACACAAATCATATAGCAAAAGGAGAGATAATAATACTTGTATTAGAGAGCTTTTAATTTGCTTTTCTCCCCTCCTCATCACCAGAGACAGATGAAAATTCTTCTAAGTAAAGAAAAAAAGTTACCTCCTCCAACAATCTGGTATGAACACACAGGTTGACAATCCAAGATTAGCACCCCTGAAATATTAACAGTGGCAGACAGACATTATGCCTTATTTCCCCTCCCCCCCTTATCTGCTGGATTTCAAAAGCAGCATCAGAAAACACGTTCTGCTCAGGCTGGCACGAGCCAGGAACACAAACACAACCTGAGCAATAGGAAGCAGCACACGGCTCAGGGTATTATCCAAAGGTCACATTTGTGCTGATGCAGCGAAAACGAGTTGGAATCCCGACAGCTTCTCCTGTGTGAGTATCTCCACAGGGTTCTGGTCACTCCACAAGCTCAGCGTGCACAGGGGTTCATAGGGATCCCCCTGGATGCCTGGCTTGGATCTCCTTCACCAGCCAGGGATCATCCCTGCATTTCTACCCACATCCAACCTGGTCTAAAGCAGAGCTTGATCTACTCTACCAGGGCAAGGAAGTCTCACAGCACTGACATCAAAGCTCTTCTGCAGCCTCTCCACCCTGACCAGGTTGCCCAGAGAAGCTGTGGCTGCCCCATCCCTGGAAGTGTCCAAGGCCAGGTTGGACAGGGCTGGGAGCAACCTGGGCTAGTGGAAGGTGTCCCTGCCCATGGCAGGGGGGTGGAGTAGATTATCCCTTCCAACCCAAACCATTCCATGATTCTGTGATACCTGTTCTGAACATGGTCATCTATCTGGTTATTGTTGTCCTGCTGCAGACACAGGTTCACACCTTCTCAAGAGCTTCTCTGTGGCACTTATTAGGCAAGCAGAGGTTTTCCTTTCAGAAATATGCTCCCCTTAGCTGACAGGATCAAACACAGCACAGAAAACCTTAGTTCACCCAAATGTCAGGCACCCATTTAATTTTCACCTTTGTTAAATAATGTAATTGTCCCGGAAAGGGTTCTCCAGCCATCCTGAGAGCCAGCACCAGCACACAAGGTGTCCTCCAAAGGGAAGGGAAGCACAGTGGGTATGCCAGGGCAGCAGGCAGCATCAGTAAATAACCCTGAGCCTGCTTTGTTCCTCCATAAAATAAATGATTAATAGCTCAGGATAGTCAGCCTGCCTGAGCAGCTCAGGCGTGCTGAAAACTTTTGATCAGTTTGATTCATTAACCTTTAAAACTGCCTCTAAAAGAGGCTTAAAATCTGAAGAAGTATCATTTTAAACACCACTTTTATCCAGGAATCCCAATTTTTGATGAAGTGAGCTAAGATTGAGACACTCTGCTCCTCTTTAGAGACACTCAGCATCAGCCAGGTGTCAAGGAAGATATAACAAGAGAAAATAAAAGTTGCTGTAGACAAACAAACCCATGTTCATCTTAGAATTCAAAACCAATCAGGGTGGGGTGGGAGGGAGGGGAGAAAATGGCACTTCTTTGTGATCCTTAAGCACTTGGCCGGTTCGCAGGTGGCTCCCCAACTGTCTCTTTATTTCTTCTGGTTTTAATGCTAATAAAAAAAGGAACCCAAACAGGGGGCTCAGCTCCCCACACAATGCCCTGGGGGAGGGCAGGGAGTGTAACTTACGGATCCCAAAACTCTGACTCAGACAAATTACTTCTAGTTCACTTCCCGACTACACGCCCGCATTGTTCCGACACCTTGGCGGCAGAAGGGGCTCATCCCCGGCTATCTGGTCCCAGGGACGGCACTGGGGGGGGGGGCTGATGTCATTAAGGAGCTGTTCCAATTACTTCCCTGGGGAAAGCAGTGACTTGCAGCTTTAACGTCCTGCCCCCGACGCAGCGGGGAAACCAACCGTCGGCCAATGCCTGGCTGTGCGCGCCGGGACGAGCCGCGGCTTCCAGGGGCGGCAGCTGCTTCCTGGGCCGCACGTGCAGATGGGCTGGAGGCTCGGGCACGGTTTGCTTGGAAAGCGAGACCGGGGGGGGAAGATTCCCAGGAGAAAAAGGGTGTTCTCTGAACCAGTGACACAGTTGATCCCCTCTACGTCTGGGTACAACGGACAGGCCGCTCGTCTCCTTCAGAGCTGCAGCCCCGCAGTTGCACTGGTACAACTGCTAGCAAAAGGAAAATGTTTCACCTCTATGGGAATGACAGGCCTTTCTGAGAGGAAGAAAACACCAGCTACAAATTGAAACAGATTAAAAACTTCTCACAGAGCCAGCTCCGCGCCATCTTCGGCTGCAGCAATTCCACACACGGGCGAGGATTTGTGAGCCTAATAGTTTTAGGGAGAAATTCCCAAGCCACAGCTGTGCGGCTGTGGAAGGGTTTCCTGAAATCCCACCAAAGCTTGGAGGAATCCAGCAATATTAGCAGGATACAAATGTTCTCGTTTGGAACAATATCGAGGCTTCTGACAGGAAAATCGTGATGCCTCAGCTACCCAGCAAATAAAGATGTTTGTAAAGGAATCAGACCTAATCTCTTGCTTCGGTAGTTTTTTCTGTATTTGAATCTTTAAGATTATCTATGCCAAGAAAAATATTTAACCGCAGAGAAACAAACCCGATTCCTGACTTTTACAACTTTCCTGGGGTCTGAATTAAATGCTGATTAACGTTCCAGTTGAAGTATTTAGTCCAGACTGTAATAGCAGGTGAAACTAGGAGTTAATGGTACCTCAGACAGTTATTATGGCAAGGAAGTACCTTGTTTTTTGGACACCATGTACATATTTGCGTGGCATGAGCTCAAAGAAAAGTGGGAAAATAAAGAGTAAAGCAGCACTCTGAATATGCATAACAATAACAAAAGAGTTCAGGAGGACAAGGAAAAATTACTTAAGAAGAAATTGGGAATTTTTTTTCTACTCAAAAGCCACCTGAAGTTTAAATGTACTGTTTCAGCTGTACCTTTGCATAGGACAAATTGTCAGAGCCTGGAAGGTAAAGAGAGTTCAAAACATGATGAAAAGAGCATCAGCATGATTATGCAATGACATGAGCAGCCCAGGAACAAGCAAATGGACACAGGGAGAGCAAACAAAACAGTCCCAGCCAAGCCAAAAGGGAACAGGGAACTTAATGACTCTCTTGGAAACTTCACCACATCAAACCAGCGTGTCAGGAATTATTTTAATGCACATCACTGAGCGAACTGTTTAGCGTCATACGGCAGTGTAAGTGCTTTGCACCATTAACAGCTTGAATTTATTAATTCCAAACCGGTATTTGTGCTTCCTCAGTTCTTTAGTCAACCTCCTGCTACAGCCCGGGGTGTGCTGTGCCATCCTGGGGCTCAGCAGTTTTAAGAGTCGCTCACACGTTCATCCACGGCCTCAACCGGGCTCAGCAGCAAACCTGCCCAAACCACAGGGGTGTTCCAACTGGACTGCAGCCAAGCCCTGCCACTGCTGTGGAGGGCAGATCCTGGCCCCGAGAGAAACCCACGAGTGCCTTCCCCTGGAATAAAAGCGCCTGTTCAAAGCTCGGTGCGAGATCTGAGGGCGGGAACGTGCCCCTTTGCAGAGGAGCCCAAGTTGCACAACTGATTTCGGTATTTAGTTCAAGCAGCTTTTAAAAATCTTTACAAGTTTAAAATAATCACAGGGTATTAATTAGTGCACTTCGCAGAGGCACAGATTCAGCCCAAGTGCATGGGAGAAACTGGGCAAAAATAGTCCTGCCGAGCCTGACTTACCAGGCTCGTACAAGACAATCCTAACAGTTTTATTCTCAAATATTTTATTGTCTCCCGGAGGGAAAACTCCAGATAAACTCTCTCAAGGAGCACACAACCTGTAATGTGTCCTTGTAATAGTTTGAACAGGATTTCCAGCCATCCACAGCAATGAAAAAATAATGTCCCTACTTTCATGACGTCCCCCACTCCCACCACACCGAGCACAGCAGCATGAAAAAAAACCATTTGTGGGCATTCAGATGAGCCCTAAAACACGTTTTTAGACTCTCCACTTATTGCCAGGCTGTCTCTTTATAAGTTATATTATTTAGTTTCTTAAAAAACAATACCCCAAAAAACCCCAAACCCAAACACAAGGGAAAATAAGGCCCCATAAAAAAGACTGCAGCGGTTTTCTGTGGGGTGGGGGTTTCTGCAGCAAGTTTCTGTGGGGTGTTTACTTGCTCTAAACAGAGCCAAAAGACTAATCAGAACATTTTGGCCGGGATACAAGAGGCAACTCTGCTTGACAGATGTAAATTTAAAAAAAATTTCCCAGGTCAAGAGCAACAGAATAACCTTTTCCCTTCAGCTGCCCAGAGGTCCCATCCCACCCAGAGGTGTTTTCCAGGGAAGCACCTACTTGCTGTCTGTCCTTTTGTTGTAAAGGAGGAAGTCAGACAGGTCATGCCACACCTCACTGTCCTCGTACAGGTAGGTCATGGAGGACTGCAGGGAGGGCTGCAGAGTCTGTCTGTGGTACTCAAAGAGCCACAGCACTGTCCCCCACACCAGGGCAGCCACGAGGGGGAAGGGATCCTGCTTGGGCTGGGGGATGTAGCCCTTCTCCACAGCCAGCCGGGACAGGCCGAACAGGATCCGGGACAGCAGGTACATGATGATCTGCAGGGGAGAAACCCAGAGAGCTTTGGGTGAACAACCTGAGCTCACACACCAGCCAGGCTGAGATTTAGAAGCCCTAATCCACCCCAAGGAGGTGGGGTGGGAAGAATTTACCCGACACAATTTACCCGGCTTGAAAGCAAACAGGCTGTGGTTCACACACCAGCAGTCTGTAAAAACCACAGGTGTTTGTTGTCTTCTCAGCATCCTCAACGTCCTGCTTCTCTGCTGCTGCTGCTCTAATTTAGCAGTCAACAAGTTAAACTTGATGCAACACATCTTTGCAGTTGCACAACTCCTGTCTTCACTCAGTTAATGTCACCTCAGAGCAGACCCAGAGCAGCCCTGCTCACCTGCCAAGCAGACCTGAACTCAGGAGCCTGGACACAGCCTAAAACCAGGCTCAAGAACACTTTGGGCCAGTCTGCATCTCTGTGTTTTACTCGTTAATCTGTGACTGTGTGTTAAGAACCATCTTTAAACCCAATTTCCCCCGAGCAGCTTTTGTCAGTTTAACCTGTTTAAGTTGTCACAGAATATTCTGAGTTGGAAGGGACCCACAAGGATCACCAAAGTCCAACTCCTTGTCAGTTTAACCAGTTTAGTTCAGTGCAGCTCAGTAACTGATCACGTTCCACTCTCACAACACTCAAATTAAAGGGTTTAACCCTGCAATGGGCAGACCAGGAGCACAGTCAGTGACCGCAGCTCAGGCGACAGCTGGGATGACTCCAAAGCTTTGGATGACTTGACTGCCTCCCTAGGAATTCAGTGCAGCTCTGGAGGTAAACCTGAGCTTTTAGCCCTCCAACTGCTCATGGAGGCACACAAACCACCTCTGGGATTGGAGAGCAGAGCAGCCAAAACAAGGATCTGTGCAAAGAACACGGTGAAAGAATAATTGCTGCCTGGTCAGCACCACCACGAATGAGCCGCCAACCGCTCCCTGGCAGACTTGCTGCTTTTCCTGGTCAAAGAAACTTCCAGCGAGCGCGTTTACCTGGCTGTTGATGGGATTGTTCTCACCAAACACCAGCCAGCCCCCAATGCAGGCTGCAAGGAAGGCATGGAACGGGATTTTCTTCCCCTGCAGCCGGGACTGCACTGCCATGAGCCCCTTGTAGGTGAACACGAAGTAGGCCAAGTTCCGGGAGTGGGCGTAGGTGGCCTGAGCAATCGCCTTCAGCTTCTCCCTCAGACTGAGGGAAAGGAACAGGCAATCAGGTGAGGGAAAAGGCAGGACCCCCTGCACTCAGCTCAGCCTGGTCACTACACCCCTCACCTACAGTGACAGCTTGGGCACCCCGTGGAATATCTTGTGAGGGAGGAGAAATCCCCTCACCTCCGACCCCCCCCATGAAAGCACAGCCCTATCCAGACTGGATTCTCATTCTGTGAACAGTCAAACAGCCCTTTTTAAAAACATTTTTGCCTACACGCAAACCTCTGGCATGAGCAGGGAAAGCCACAATGCCCTCTGCTGTACTCCCATCTATCCACGGGGAGTAGAGCACTGCTGTTGGCACCTTCCAATTCCTCCCCGCCCACTGGTTCTCATCAACCATCCCATGAGTGGTTACCCCCCTCAACTATGTAAATTTGTGTGTGCTTCACTAACAGAACAGGCTCAACCGTGGCTCACGTCCATTTCTTCTTTTTAAACCCCCCCGGAAAAATGAAAAGCAGACAAATGAAGTGAAAACATTCTAAGCAGTGACTTAAAAAAAGTGCAAGAATTAGGGCTCGTACCTTCCACTCTTGAACAGGAAAGTCATCACCAGGGCATGAGGGGCACGGATTTTGGCTCCATAACTGCAAGAGTGGACAGATACTTCAGAGTTTTTGTATTATACTACGAAAAAATTGTAATTCTGACAGACTAAAGAGATTATTTAACAAATACATGTTATTTTCAAGCCGACCCAGCAGCAGCAGCAGCACAAGAAGCCGGGAGAAGCTCAGCCCGACGGGGGAAGAGCACACGCACCACGGCGAGCCAGGCCCAAAGGAGACCCCAAAACCAGTTAAACCCACTCCGACTGCAGCTGAGAGAGGCGGAACCACCTCCCCCGTGCCCTCCCCCCCCCCGCATCCCCGGCCTCCGCACAGACCGGGGCGGGCCGATACCCCGCACCCCCGGGGCCCGGCACTCACACGGCGCCGTTGCGGAAGCCCTTGATGACGGCGAGCGCGGCGTGGTAGCGGCGCTGCTGCAGGAGCGCGTTGGCGGCGCGGAGCATAGCGCGGAGCGTGTCCTCCCCGCCCGCCATGGCCCCGCCGGCCATGGCACCCCCGCTGCACGCCGCTTCCGGGGCCCGCGCCCCGCCCACCGCGCCCATTGGCTGTCCCGCCTGTCCGTCACCGCGGACGGTGCCATCTCAACCGTTCATTGGCGCGGAGCGCCCGCCCCGCAGCCAATGGGCTGAGCGTCCCGCCCAACTCGCTCTCTAAGAGCCCGGGCCGGCATCACCGGGCCATGGCGCGGGGGTCGCGGCGGGAGCCCGCAGGGGGTGGGGGTGGCCGCCATGGCACAGCACCTGCCCGGTCCCCGCGGGCTGTAGCGGCGGCACTGAGTTAAACGCTCCCTTCCCCCCCCCCAAAACCGGCCCCGGAGCCGCCCCCGCCCCTCCCCGCGCTGAGGGCGCGCTGCGGGCGGAGTGCGCCCCCTGGCGGCGCGGGCGCTGCCGCCGCCGCTCCAAGATGGCGCAGGCGATCTTCGAGGCGCTGGAAGGTAACGGGGCCGCGCCGGGGCCGCCCGGGCCGCGCCGCCACCCGCGGGCTGCACCCTCCGCGCCCCCCGGGCTCCCGCTGCCCGGCACTGCCGCCGCCAGGGGCTCGGGGCCGCGGTGGGGCCCCCCCGCCAGGCCCGGCCCGGCCCGGTGCGGCGTGGGGTGCTGGAGGCAACCCCGGGCTGTGCCCCCCGCGCTCCCCGCGGTGGGGACGGTGCTGCAGCCCCCGCCCGCAGCCCGGGGATCGCCGCGTCCGGCTCCCTGCCGTGTCCCTGTCACCTCCGGACCCCCCGGCCCGGTGCCACCTCCTGCCCGTGCGCCGGGACGTGCCCGCACTGCCCATCCCCGTGCTCCGCGTAGCCCTCGTTGGCCGCGCACGGTGTGCACCGCAACCCCTCCCTGCCCCCGGGCCTGATACCGCGAGGCATCCCATCCCAGCGCATCCCTGTCCCTGTGCCCGGTGCTCCAGGTCACTGCATCGCATCCCTGTGCCCGGTGCCCAGAACGCCTCATCCCATCCCTGTCCGTGTGTCTGGTGCTCCAGGGCACCCCATCCCATCCCTGTCCCTGTGCCCGATGCCCCAGTGCACCCCTTGCCCTCCCTGCCCCTCTGCCTTGCACATCGGGGTGCTCCCACTCGCCCCATCTCTGTGCCCAGGGAACAGGATCCCCGGTCTCCAGGACACCCTGTGACTCTCCCCCTCCCATTGCCGCCCGTCTTTGTGCCCAGCGTTCTGGGACACCCCCTGCATGCTGGGGTCCCCCATCCTCCCCACACCCCGGGGCTCATGCTGCTGTGCCACGCTCCCTTGCCAGCCCCAGGGAGTGCTGGCCCCTGCGTGTGTGTATTTTGGGGGTGTCTGTGCTCTCTGCACAGCCCAGACTCTGCCCGCTGTGTGGGTGAATGGGTTGTGCTCAAATTCCTCTCAGTTTGGCACTGGGACACTGTCACAGGCAGGTGCCATCCCTGGGGGACTCTTGGACGTGTCGAGCTGTGGCAGTCTGAGCCTGTTGGGGGAAAAAACTATTTCCCAGGCATTGCTTTCCTAAACTGGATGTAAATTTTTTATATGGGGGCACAACTGACGTCAGGATTGTCACCTGTGCTTTCAGACATCCCCTGTGATCGCAGCAGCAGAGAGAGGAGCAGAGAAGAAATATTTCTCTGTTTTGTGAGGTTACTCGGTGCATTTGGCAGCACCCTGTGCAGAATCAGGTCCCTGTTTCCTCTCTGCCACCACCTCCTCGTGGTGTGAGTTTCCTCGCAGAACTCGGGAGGGCAAAACTTTTTAGCAAATTTTAGCAGCTTTTGGCGTCTGAGCCTTGTTTGTTTTGTCGTGTTGACATGATTACAAGTGAATGGTGACTTGGCATTTGTGTGGATGCTGAGAGCAGGCTGTGGGGCACAGGGGCATCTTCACCTGTCACCAAAGCACCTGGTGCTGGTGTCAGCAGGAAAGGCTCAATGCGTGGTGGAAAAGTAGCACCTGGGTGAAGTGGACATTCTTGTTTCATCTCCAGCTGAGAGGAATTTGAAAGGGGAAACAAAAAAGGCACAAATCAGCAGTCCTGTACTTTTATCCCAGCTTCCCCCAGTCACCCTGGTGTTGTCAGGCCCTGGGCAGCTCAGCTCCTGCTGTGCCAGAAGTGGCTGGGTTTTTTTAAGTTTCATGATTGTTAAAAGTGTCCTGCAGACTGGTGCTGGCTGTAGGCAGGGCAGGCTCCATCCAAAGGTTTCTCCTGGAAATCTGTGGATGGGCAAGAACAGCATCTGCTTAACCAAGTAACTCTGCCAGCTTATCTTTGTGGGTTACTAACCTTGACGTCAGGGAAGTGTGGTGATGTGCAGTTACCCTGGGAAACAGGGAGTCTGGGGGCATTTGCCTGAATTGCCAGATAAATAAGGGCAGCATATTTCTCTTGTCCTGGGCCTCTTTTCCCCGTCAAGAGGCTGACTGCAGCATTGACAATCTTGCTGCATCATTGTCTTCAGCTTCTTCCTCCTAAGGGGATCAAGTCTTTTGGCTTTTTTCTTTGGAAGCTCTGACTGTGTGCCAGAGAGAAACCCAGTTGTCCAGTGCCAGGCCCATCAAGAGTGGCACCCTTGGCACAAGCTTTTGAATTATCCCCATTCTATACTTAACCCGAATTTTCGATCCCTCTTTTCCTTTGAGCTTATTTCTGCTGGAGAAGGGCTGCTCCATTTCACCCTCTGGTGTGGCTGTGCCAGCAAGAGCCTGCAGTGCTGCCCTTGCAGTTGCCCAGGGGTCATTAGAGGAGGTGTATTGTGGAGCAAGGCTTGGGATCCTCCAGGAGCATTCCAGTGGTGTTCTCCTGGCGGGGCTGATCTGCAGGGCTGGCTCCAGCTCTCCAGGCAAGACAAGGCTTGCAGAACTGGACCTGCAGCTTTGCCTGTGATTGATGTGAGAGGCTTCCCATAGGCATGGTGGGAATTTTGTGGTAGTGTGTGATGCAGTGGGATCTGCTGCTTTCTAGTAGCTGCTTATGCCCTTGGAGGACGGTGCTCTGCTCCCTCCCAGAAACATCAGCAGTGTATGCGCCCTCTCCTCGGTGAGATGATGGAAGAGGTGTTCACAGAGTCTCAGAAGCAACTTCACGCTGGAGATGCCAGAGAAATGAGTTTTTAGGGTATCTTTAAGAGGCTGTAGGTTATATGGGCACTCCCCATCAAGAAGGTAATATCCCAGTTGTCCAGGAGAAATTCTAGAACGGCAAGAGGAATTTGGAGTGGTGGGTTCTCCTGCTGTGCTGGGATCTGCCACGGTGTTTCACTGTCCTTCGTGGTGCTGTTCTCTTCTTGGGAACAGTCCTCACCTCAGGAATGGTCTGCACCTCACTGCTTGGGAATAATCAGACCAACAGAACTGCTTTTACTGGGGCACACAGTTCTGAGCTCAGAGCTTTACAGTTTTAGTTGGCCAAGAATGTGAAGAAAAATGAAAAGCAACTAAAGAACTCCCCACTTGTCTTCTCTCCCTTAATTCACAAGGTGTCACATACAACCCTGCCCTGCCATTTGTTTTATTTGTGGGTTCCTTGTCATAAAGGAATGGTAGGGAAGAGTGGAGCATAAAAATCCCCAAATCAGATTGTCCTTTACATCTGGTTTCTATAAAGAAAGAGTGTCTCAGGCTTAATCCACTGGTCACACGCTACTGGCCAGGTTGTCTCCCCAGATGAGCAGTCCCCACCTCCTGTATTTACCTGGAATATTTTAGAACATTTCAGCTGTAGTGAAAAATGTCTGTGCCAAAGTGAGTAAGCTGATTCTGACAGCAGATCTGACTGGGGGTTCATGCCCTGGGTCTGGTCAGATCCAGAAATGCTGGCCTTGAAAACAGGGAGGCATTTCTAGCACTGCTGCTGAGGGAGCTGCTGCACACAAGGATTTTGTCTGTGCTGTGTCACGCTGTGTCCCCAGGCAGATCCACCCAGACTGCTGCTCTGTGACATCCCAATACCTGCTCTTTAGCTCTTGCTCTAAGCATCCTTCCTCTCAGCAGCAAACCAAGCCCTCTTTTGGCTTTCTTGCCCTTCTTCCCTTTTCTTCCTGTGCCAAAGCAATTATGGAGAGAGGTGGAAGCGTTGCTGTGGTGGGATGGTTGATGCTGTGGAGTAGAGAGAGGGTGAGAAGGTGAGAGTGGCTCTGTGGGAGGAGAGAGCAGCAGCTGCAGAGTTGCTTTCCTCCATGACTTGGGAGCAAGCTCTCAGTGCCCAAGCATTCCACGTCTGGCTGTGTTCAGTTCACCATCCGTGTTTGTGTCTCCTTTCAGGAATGGATAATCAGACGGTGCTGGCTGTGCAGTCCTTACTGGATGGTCAGGGAGGTGTGACGGATCCATCGGCTCAGAATGTCAACTCCTCCAGCGCCATCCAGCCCATGGGTGAGTCCTGGTGGCTCTGGGAGAGAGAGGAGAGGGGTGGGAGTGCTGCACATCCCAGGACAGCTGGATTGTAGGGGCTGCTACAGGTGTTGGGAGCCCTCAGCAGGACCAGAGCAGGAGGAAGGGGCAAGTGCCCAAGAGTGCTTCTGGAGATGGTCATGACAACAGACTTGACCATGTGCTTCCAATAAAGTCACAAAGGGAGGCTCGAGAAGCCACGCTGTCTCCACCACTACTTGTTACTGTTCACATTTTTAATTTAATTAGCCATTCCTTATGCCCTGGGGATACTCCAGCCCTGGAGTATCTCATCTGTGTGACTGAATATGGGAACGAGTCGTTTATGTGCACATGGACACTCCCAGTGCTTGAGTAGGACTCGCTACGTGGACACCCAAGTTATCCTCCAAAGGATTTACAGTCTGTGTCCCCAAAAACATTCTGCTCCAGGCTGTGAATCAGGAGAAACAGCCTTGTGAGTCCAACTGGATCGTTTACAAGTGGTGTGTGGTCTGCTAACGCTGCATATTTCAGCTAGGACATGTAACTGGGTTGTCTTCTTTCTGCTTTGGGTGTCAAAAGCCATCAGTCCCATGGAAGGGTGGCTTTAGGACACAAGCTGACAGTGACTCTGTGCCTGGTCCAAGTTACTTCTCTTCTTTTGTGCAACCTG